AAGGACTATTATTATTTATTATTATAACAACTTTCAAAAGGGAATTGGTAGGTGCTTGAATAGGAAAAATTTGCAAGAATACGGGGAAAGATCGGGGGAGTGGGACTGATTGAGTAGCTCTTGCAAAGAGCATGATGGGCCAAATGGCCTCCTTCTGCGCTGTAATATGGAGTCCTGTAGCTCCATGGTTAGAGCACTCGCCTCGCAAACGAGAGACTTGGGTTCGATTCCTGGGAGGGTGAAACCTTGGGCAAGTTTCCTTACTTCACACGCCTGATAATAATCCTTCAAGAAAAAAAACCCAATAATAAATTGGTCACTTCAATCCATGACTGTTTGTGGGACACTGCTGTGCGCAATTGACTGCCGCGTTTCGCCCACAAATATACAGACAATTCACTTTTCAGTATATTCTGTGAAGCGCTTTGAGACTTCGAGAAGACGTGAAAAGCGCTATATCAAATACAAGGATCATTATTATTATTAATCTATGCTTCTATGCTTTACATTTCAGATGATATTCAGTGGTGCTGGAATAGAAAAGACTTGGTAGAAATGAATGATTTAGTCCTTGGAAGATCTGAATTTTGTTCCTTATTGTATTGAACCAGGCGACAGCTGAGACTATGCAATGTTACATATTACTGGCCCGACTAAAGATCAGCAATAACATTCAAATAGGAAATATTAGCCTTATAAATTAGATTTTGCGCAAAAAGTTTTCATTTGCAGACAAGGAGGCTTGTGATTTGACTTCATGCTGTGGTGTGCTTGCTTGAAGTTGCAAATACTGCCTTCATTCCTAGCCTGTTGAATATGCAGCTAATTGGTTGGACATGACAGCGCTTAAGCGTGCTTCAGATCAATTTAAAGACTGGGTTAAAAAAAACGGGATTATGTTTATTTAACTGAAGATAAGGTCAGAATAATTGGGAGCTATTTTATACTGAGTGCTACATGAGTGATCTTTACAACGGTAAACGGTATGCTATTTTGTGATTAATGATCCAGATATCGTCATTGATACTGGCTAGGATAATATGATCAGTTCAGTGCAATTTAGCAGCTGATTCCTGTCACAGTCGAGAGTGATAGTAGTGAACCAGCCAGGAGTGGGACACCTACTGTAACAGAAGCATCTGTAAGCAAACTCCACAGTTTGAAACAAACATTACTGATTGTGGTTGACAGGAACTTTCTCTGAAATGTTTCTCTGAACATGCAATCACACACTTGCCTTACAAGCCAGAAACAATATAAGAAAACATTTGTCGGATTTCCATGTTGAATATAGTTTTTGTCATAGATTAGCTACTTGAGTGACCTGAAATTTATCACAATCTTGGCCCTAAGCGTTTGAGCGAATTTTGGGAAAATTTCAGTCTTAACCCAAAAAATTGCCAGCTTCCAAAATTTAGACAATCTTCAAATTTTAAGATCACGGTCATTATACAGCAATAACTTGCATTTATATAGGACCTTTCACGCGGGGTAGCGTCTGGAAGGGCATGACACTGGCAGAGTCTGACCCCTACCCGGGGGGAGAGGGAGGGGGAGCACAATCAAAAAGGAGAGTCTTTAGGTGGGATTTGAAGGTGGAGAGTGAGGAGACAAGGCGGAGGTATTGAGGGAGAGAGTTCCCGAGTTTTAGGGTGTAGTGGTTGAAGGCACGGCCACCGATAGTGGAACGGAGGACACGAGGCCGGAATGAGCTTAGTGGGGCAGTGCGTGGTGAAGTGGGAGATAAGCAGGTTGGATAGGTAGGTGCAAGAGCAGGAAGGGATTTGAAAACAAGTGAGAGGATCTTGAAATTGATCTGTTCGGTGATTGGGAGCCAGTGGAGCCTGGCTAGGACTGGTGTGATGGGGGTACGGAGTTTTGTGCAGGTGAGTATCCAGGCGGCGGAGCTTTGAAATAATTGGATTTTGTGTATGGTGGAGCTGAAGAGACCAGCGAGGAGGGCATAGGAATAGTCCAGCAGGGAAGTGACAAATGCGTGGACAAGGATTTCAGCTGCGTCGGTTGTGAACTACGGATTTAGGCGAGCAATGTGATGGAAGCAGAAAAAAGCATTCCAGATCAGGGAATGGATGTGGAGTAGAAAGCAAAGCTGGGGATCGAACCTAACGCTTAAATTACATACAGGTTTGGAGAGTCTAAACGAGAGTCCGGGTAGGTTGAGGAGTTTAGACCTATGGGACAGAAGACGTTGACGGGAGCCAAAGATTATGACTTCCTGCCGACATTCACCTGCAGGAAATTTGCGCTCGTCCTGGCCTTGATGTCCATCAAACAAGCTGAAAAGACATTAGTGGAGTCACAGCTGGAGAAGTAGATTTGGGTGTCATCCGCATATATGTGGAAGTTGACCCAACGTCTGCAGATGACATTGCCGAGAGGGAGCATATAGATAAGAAAAAGAAGGGGGCCAAAGGATGGAGCCTTGGGATACCCTGCAGATAATTGGGTGGGGATGAGTGGAAAGATCATTGGCCTAGATGTATTGCTGGTGGTTGGTTAAGTAGAACTCAAAACATGTGAGTGCAATCCCATTAATGTGGATGAGGGAGGAGAGGCGGTGGAGGAGGATGGCATGATTGACTGTGTCGAGTGCAGCGGAGAGGTCCAGGAGGACAAGAAGACAGAGGGAGCCCTGGTCACAAAGAGAGGGGATGTCATTTGTTACTTTGACGAGCACTTCTCTGTGCTGTGGGCTGGGTGGAAACCGGACTGAAGGGGTCGAGTAGCAAGTAGAGGGCGAGGTGTGAGCGAATTTGGTTTCCAACAACGCGTTCCAGGCTTTGGCCAGGAAAGGCAGGTTTAACATGGAATTGTGCATGAGGTTGAAGGGATCGAGAGTAGATTTTTAAGGAGAGGAGTGATGACAACTGTTTTGAAGGGACATGGGACTGAGCCTGAGTAGAGGGACTGATTTATGGATTTATGTTAACACCAAGAGGAATTTCTGCTCTTTGAGCTGCCGTGGCCCTGTCAGGTCAGAAATCTGTTTGTTCTGACATTGGAATGATCTAGAAGTTGGATGGTGGTTGAGGATGAGACATATAGTTATATAATAAATTGAGACACAAGAGTGGTCCCACCACTGTAGAATATGCTGTTTGTTGTTCCAGGAAATCATCACTACTCATTTGTATTCCTGAGGTGAGAAACTAATCTGATCCTTTCCATTGAGTCCCAGAGGTCCAGCTCGGTGCCAGTGACTCAGTGACCTTTTTTGTTGTCTTGAGTCGTCTGTCCAAATTGATGGATGTTCATCTATTTGTATATTGGTGGTGAAGCCTGGCAATGCTGACACGCTAATGTCTGCAAAGTACATCAGCCAAGTCTGGGAAAATAATAAGCGGACGGATGGAAGTGGAAACGTCAAGCTAATGTCCAGCAAGCTGGGAGGGGCAAGACAGCTAATGAATGTGGGCTGAAGCCCATCCTGCAATGTGCTTACAATAATTTATTATTAAAGCAAGCTGGTATCTAGTGTTTAGGCAAAGGTTACGTCTTTTTCATTTAATGGCATGATTATCCTTTTCATGTTTAAAAGTACTAAACACACCAGTCCTAGCCAGGCTACTGCCGAACGGATTGATTTCAAGATCCTCACACTTGTTTTCAGATCCCTTCATACTCTGGCACCTCTCTACCTCTCTGACCTGATTACCCGTTACCCACTGCCTCCACTCGACTAACTCCAGCCTCCTGCATGTCCCTTGTGCCATTCGTTCCACCATCAATGGCCGCGCATTCAGCCACTAACCCGCAAAACTCTGGAACACTCGTCCTCTATCGCCTCCGTCTTGCCCCTTGCTTCCCCCTCTTCAGGTTGCGCCATTGTCAAGCACACTAGGATCCTACCCTGCATGAGGGGCGCTTTCTAAATGCAAGTTGTTGTTGTTGAATTGTAGAAGATTCTGGAACACAGAGCTCTGAGCTGTTGAAGTTGTTTCAGAGTTATGTGCTTAGGGTTGCATCAATTCTATGAAGTTTGATTTCTGTTTAAACAGTTTTTTTTTCTGATTACCTCTTCAAGTAAGGGGTAATACAGGTTACAAGTGTAATTAATGGGGTGAAACTAATGGTATTTCTCAACGGGATTCTAATTCCTTAAATAAGAATTGGGGCTCCTTCCCTTAACCAAGTGCTATTGTGTCTTGTGCTCCGCTCCCATGCAATCTGATGCTGATGTTGATTCCTGTGAATCAACGGGAATAAAATCCCATTAAGAAATATTGCTAATTAGACCCCATTAGACCCCAATATTTCTCAAGTTCACTTGAATAGCAGTGTTTTGGTCAGGCCACAAGTGGGAGACTGGAATCCAGTTTTGGTTGGTATCTAGCAATGGCTTCTTTTGTGCTAACCTGGACAGAGCAGGACTTACAGTGTGTGCAATGTCTTTACCTATTAGGCCATTGGGGTGACGGAGGGGAATGCCTTATCCACTCCAGAGATTCAGGGGCTCCTTCAAAAGCAAGAAATTTCCCATCAACGTCTGCTTCAAAGAACCAGGCACCATCCAAATTCCAGAGTCCCATAATCCATTTAATCCAGTTATTGTGTAGCATGTGTCTAAGGGGAGCTCAGAATTGTACAGTGCACCAACCACCCAAGAAATTCTTAGCACTGTGAAAAGTACATTATATTACAGTGCAGATATTAACTGGATGTGCTTTTCTTTACTGATTATAACATGTGCATTTAAGCATTGGGCTACAGAACTGTGAATGTTTGTAATTTGTTCACCAGTTCAAAGCAAAAGTATCTTGCTTTTGAAAAAGAAGCTGCATAAGTTATTATTACTTCAGGAGTCTTCTTTTGCTCTCTTAATGCTCTTAGTTGTGGTTCATGTTCACAATGAGCTTCTGTTGTACTCCATGGGGAATACATGACAGTGTCTAACATCAATTGACTGCTGACTCTTAAGTCAAACCACAACCCCTTTCTGGCTGTCACACTCATTCTTTGTTAATGTTTTATTCTTTCAGGTGTGTGACAGTGAGAATATGGATTTGGATTTAGTGAACATGTTTGTTTTAGCTGGAGGTACCCTGGCGATACCAATTTTGGCTTTTGTTGCCTCCTTTTTGCTGTGTCCCGCAGCACTCATCAGATTCTATTACTGGTAAGTTTGCTTTCATTGCTGGTGTTTAAGTAAACGCACTTCTGATATACAATTTCATGCATTTGATTCCAAAATCTTGCAGTCATTTTGCTCATTTATTTAAGTTCAGAGAAGGAGGAGGAAATTCAGGTGCTTAGGGATGCTTTGTGCAGTTTGTTTGCAACTCATCCAGGGTTTATTGGCAGGGTTCTGGTTCCCCTTTGTCAGATGGCCCATGGAGGAGATGGTGCTAAATAGAGTGCGAACATTAGATTATTTGTTATTTGGTTCATTATGGGATGAGTAGTTCCTGTTTCATTAAATTATGTTATTTTTTCTGTTACTGAGGCAAACTGATGAGTCAAACCAGACTGTTGGATGGATTGACGGAGGCGCTTATCTGGGGTAAAGGCTTGTGGTCACATTCAGGACTGTTGCAGCTGCTGTGTCCACTTCTTCACAGCCGTTTGGTATGCTATTTGCCCATTACGGGCAAGTGATTTGTCCTCAAGAGGAATGTATGCTTTTCACGTGATTATAAAAGAAGAACTTTATTTAGGGAAAGGGCATCAATAAAAGAAGGGATTTAAATATATTAATCAGCCTCAGTCCTTATTTTAGCATAACACACAACGGAGCATTGTTATGATATTAGTAATTTTGCACGGGTGTTACATGTGATCGAAGCATCCTGATATTCTGATATTAATTTTGATGTAGGATTATTGGAGTATTGCTGTCACGTGTGAGATATTGGATGTCTTCCTATTGAAAGATGTTTGTATCTTCACAACCTGTACTTCAGGGCTTTTTTTAAATTCTGCTGCAATCATCTAAATATAAGATAATGTTCTAAACATAAAATATTGTTTTAATTTAAAAATATTATTCTAAATATAAAATATTCTAAATATAAAATATCCTAAATATAAAGTTTTGCTCTAATTCTAAAATTAAAATATACCTCCAAATATAAAATATTGCTCTGAATATCCCACTGGTCTATATATTTAGATCACGGGTGTTGCTGATGTCTGACTTTCTGAACAAATAAGCTGTGTTGTAGCTGCCGGACAGCTGAGTGATCTTTATATTCTCAGGCCCTACGGGGCTTTAGTTTCAATTCTTTCTGAATATTTTATGGTCACAGTAGTTTCAAAAGAAACTTGATGCTACAGATAACACTGACCCAGTATACGAGAATACTTTACTATTTCTACTTAAGATGTAATTGTAAACACTATGCTTCTCAAATATATGCATACCACATTTACTTAGAACAAAAACTGGTGATCCGGTCAATTGATATTAAAAAAAATCGCCAAAACTCTACCATGCACAGGATCCAACTGATCCAAAACTCCGCCGCTCGCATACTCACCTGTACTAAATGCCTACCCCCATTTCACCAGATCTAGCCAGGCTCCACTGGCTTCCCATCACTGAACGGGTCGATTTCAAGATTATCACACTCGTTTTCAAATTCCTTCATACCCTGGCACCTCCCTACCTCTCTAAATTGCTTTCCTCCCAACCCACAACCCGCTGTCTCCACTCGACTGACTCCAGCCTTCTTCATGTCCCCTGTGCCCTGTGTTCCACCATTGGTGGCCACGCTTTCGGACACTACGCCCCAAGACTCTGGAAGACTCTTCCTCTATCCCTCCACTTTGCCACTTCCTTCCCCAATTTCAGATCATGACTGAAGTCCTTCCTATTCAACCGTGCCTATGGTCATCTCCCCCTCCCCCGGCTCGGAGTCGTGCTCCACCAATGTCAGCACTCTGGGACGCTATCCTGCATGATGGGCGCTGCATAAATGCAAGTTGTTGTTATTGTAAAAAAAAATCCTCAAGGCTTTGTGTTAAAAAGACAAAGTTTGCAAACTTCCCCAAATGTGTGTTTCGTTCTAATGTTTAAGGAAGTTCACACGGACATTGAACCTGCAGAGCTTTGGCACTTTACACTTCCCCCATACTCAAAATACTTGCCTGACTGCATGGTAGTACCTTCTGGAATTAGGTAAGTGATGCTCCCTCCAGGGAGAGGTTGTGCACTCTATCCTAGGCAAACAGACAAAGAGCAATTTCCATGTGTAGGTGGCATTTGGATGTGGAATGTCCAGTTGGGTTTGGATTTTCTTAAGCATGGTGATGGATTTCCATGTATGTCAGACACTCGGCTGACCCCCAAAAAAGACACTGATATAATAAATCCATGATGAAGGCCTCTGCGTTCTAATCAGTTACACCAGAACCATTGCTGCAGAACGTGTCTCTGAATCTCAGTAGCAATGTGAGCACTGGTCTTGCAGTTGACATGTACATTGTGTTTTGCACAGGTACTGGAGGATGACATTAGGCATGCAAGTTAAATATGCCGAATACGGCAACTATCGGTTCTCTTATTCATCTCGTGGGAAACCTAGTATCAAGCCTTCCATTCTGATGTTACACGGATTCTCCGCTCACAAAGATATGTGGCTGTCTATAGTCAAGGTCAGTGCCTGTCACAACCACACTTTACCAAAGACCTAATCTACTATGAGTGGGAAAGTAGATTACCTGAGGTTTACTTTGATCTGTCAGCAGGAGGCTATTTCCAAAGAACAGAATGGTCAAGCTTTTGTGAACAATCAGGGAAATACATTTCTTTGCAAGCATAATTCAAAACAAAACCACAGCTTTAACAGACTCATGTAGCTAGAAGTGCCCTAAGTGTCAGGGTTTGTCTCTCAGGGTTGAGGATTTGTCTACACCGCCAGGTTAACCATTCATTACTAATAATTTGGATTAATGCAGATCTCCCTGAAGGTCCTTGTCTTCATAGAGCTAGTTCAACAGCCTACCTGCCCTCGCACCATCCTTCTGAGTTCACAATGATATTGCGAAATGGGTTTGTGTTTCAGTAACTTCCTACTTAGAAGTAATTCATCCCCTCACCTCCCCCGAAACAATCGAGGACAATTTGCAGTACTTCTAGTCAGTGCTCATCCAGCTCAGGACAGAACAAGGATCAAACATGGGAACATAGTTCTGTGTCACTTAACACTGCTCTACCATGGTGGGTTTTCATCTTTTTGTTGGAAGGAATCGAGAAGTGGTTGAAAGATTAAATAACATTGCTGCAAGAGAGGAGAGTGTATGATGCACTTTTAAAGTACATTAATTGTAAGCAGCATAAGGCAAAAACATAGAGCAGTAAAGGTGAAGCAGTTTGATTTAAAGTGTTCATTTCATAGAATTATAGAGCACAGAAGGAGATCATTCGGCCCATCGTGTCTGTGCCGGCTCTTTGNAAAAAGCTGTCCAATTCAATCCCACTCCCCCGCGCTCTCCCCATAGCCCTGCAAACTTGTCTTCCCCAAATTTAAAGTGGACCAGGCTGTATCAGGTGATTCTTCTGTTACCGTGGTGATTCTAATTTGATGAAGAGTTTTCATAAGACAGGTGACTGGGTACAGTACTAAGATTACTGCTTCTCTTGGTGCTGCTGCTTAGGATGTGTATTATGATTTCACAGTTCCTTCCTAAGACCATGCACCTGATCTGTGTTGACATGCCGGGCCATGAAGGCACAACCCGTTCGTGCATAGACGATTATTCAATAGAAGGACAAGTGACTAGGATTCACCAGGTTGGTGGCTTTTTACTGCATCTCTAACCTTTTACATCTTTTAAATACAGGAAAGTCTTGTTTTAAAGTGAGTTAGGCGACCATAGAATCCCAAAACGTCTTATAACAAAGCAAATTCCTGTGTCCCAGTCGGCCACAGAGCTAACAAGAATGACTGATTTCCAGGTCTTCAGTTTGATGCCAATATCACTTCCTGTGTCCTGAGCATAAAGCACTATTGCTGGTGACCTGGTGACCAGGCGATCGCCATTTTTAGTGTGTGAGAAGCTAAATAGCTGACTTCCAGGTCAGCACTTTGCTGATGTCACTTCCTGTGAGCTGTGAACACGCGATGCACAGGAAGTGCCATCAATGATGACCCTAACGATGCAGAAGCCCCCCATTTACCACTTAATGTGGAAGGCTCTTTAAGTGTAAGTTGTTTTTGGTGTTGGTCCTGATTCTTCCAAACAGGAAATATTTGCAAATGGATTTTTCTCTTGATGATTCCTTCACATTGGGACCTTTGTTATGATTGATCTCAATGGTTAACTATGGCCACCTAGTCACTTACTGACTGCAGTTAGGGGTTGTTGCAATGTACTTGTCTTTCTAAAAAAATGACGTAAACCTGCAGCGAGCTTTCTTATATTGGATTTTTAAACCCTCATGATAATTAAAAGATTTATATAATTCGATTTTGTTCTCAAATAGTAGGTAAACTGATTAAGTTCATCCTTTGATCTTTTCTCAATAAGAGAGCAAAAAAAATCCTGGATCTACAGACACATAACAGAACTTCCAAATAAGATAATGTTACAGAGGAATCCTCCAGAATATATTTTTTTAAAAAGCTGCATTGCCACTCTTAATCCTTCAGAATCATTTTATAAAATCCTGCACACTAAAAATTGCAGGAATTGTTCATCAATTTGCCCTGTTTTTTTAAAGCCATTTATAACCCCTGTGTGCCTAAACAACAGTTTTAGCAAATGAGCCCTAAATAGATGACTGGTCTCTCTCAATCAGGTCATATTTGTGTTTCAGCGTAGGAAGTAGGTCATGGCATCCATGTTAATCTCCCTCCTGATGTGAAAGGCGCTCTACAAATGTAATTTTGTTGTTGTTGTAATCTGACCCTATCAAGCTACCGGCCCATCTCCAACCTCCCCTTTCTCTCCAAGGTCCTGGAAAGAGTTGTCGCCTCCCAACTGCGCTCTTTCCTTTCCACCCATTCACTTTTCGAACCGCTTCAGTCAGGTTTCCGTGCTGCCCATAGCACAGAAACTGCCCTGGTCAAGGTCACCAATGATATCCTGACCATCTGTGACCAGAGCTCCCTCGTCCTCCTCGACCTATCGGCAGCATTCGATATGGTCGACCACGCTATCCTACTCCACCGTTTGTCCTCCCACCTCAACCTTCAAGGCACTGTCCTTGAGTGGTTTAGGTCGTACCTTTCTCACCGTCTTCACTTTGTCTCGTCGAATGGCTTCTCCTCCACCCCCCGTACTGTCTCATGTGGTGTCCCTCAGGGCTCTGTCCTCGGTCCCCTCCTCTTCACCCTCTACATGCTCCCCCTTGGTGACATCATCCGCAGACATGGGTTAACTTCCACATGTATGCGGATGACACCCAACTCTACCTTTCCTCCTCTACTCTCAACTCCACGACCACCGATGTCCTGACAGCTGCCTGTCCGACATCGAGTCCTGGACGAGAGACAACTTTCTTCAGCTCAATGTGCGAAAAACCGAGGCCCTCCTGATTGGCTCACGTCAGCGCCTCCGCACCTCAGGCGCCGACACCATCAGCATCCAAGGCTGCACTCTCCACCTCTCAAAGCCAATCAGGAACCTCGGCGTTTTGTTCGACCCTGAGCTGTCCTTTCTCCCTCACATCCGCACCACAACTGGCACCGCCTTCCATCACCTCCGGAACATCGCCAGACTACGGCATTACCTCACCCCTCACGCTGCTGAAACCCTGGTTCACGCCTTTGTCACCTCAAGGCTGGACTATGGGAACTCTCTCCTCGCCGGCCTTCCCGCCACCTCCCTCCACAAGCTGCAGGTCATTCAGAACTCTGCAGCTCGTGTACTGTCCCGCACCAGGCTTCGCGACCACATCACTCCCACCCTCGCTCGCCTCCACTGGCTCCCCATCCCCCAGAGGATTGATTTCAAGATCCTCATCCTCACCTACAAGGCCATTCACGGCCTTGCTCCCTCCTACCTCTCCAACCTACTATCCCCCTACCTACCTGCCCGTACCCTCCGTTCCTCTGGCTCCGGTCTGCTCCACGTCCCCCGTCCCAATCGCCCTACCATCGGTGCCGGGCCTTCAGCCTCTCAGCCCCTAGGCTCTGGAACTCTATCCCCCAGTGCCTTCGCCTTGCCTCCTCCCTCTCCTCCTTCAAGGCCGGTCTCAAAACCTTTCTCTTTGACCGAGCCTTCAGCTCCCCTCTCGACTCTCTTCCCCCTCCTCGCTCCCTCCCTTCCCTCCCCTCACCCTGACCATTTCCCCCCTCCTCGCTCCCTCCCTTCCCTCCCCTCACCCTGACCATTTCCCCCCTCCTCGCTCCCTCCCTTCCCTCCCCTCACCCTGACCATTTCCCCCCTCCTCGCTCCCTCCCTTCTCTCCCCTCACCCTGACCATTTCCCCCTTGCTCGGGTCATGACCCAACTGTGCAGCGCCTTGGGACGTCCTCCTGACGTGAAAGGCGCTTTATAAATGGAATCTTGTTGTTGTTGTTGACCTTACTCTCCGCAGGAATGAGATATTTGACAAACTCAATGAAATAGTTTCTCCATACTTTGTGTCAAGAAAAAAATTCCATAAATCAATAAAAATTCAACAAAAATTGGCTGCCACAATCACCTACATAATTTATAGTAAACACAGATTAGGAGTAAATCCTATGAAATACTTTTGAGATATTCTCCCGATGTGAATATAGTATATCAAATTGAATGATTATTATTGTAAATTCACAGTATTTTTGTATTAAATAAAGTAAAGTATGATGATAGTTCTAGTGCAGAAGTGTTGGTGGAGTCTCACAGTGCTGAAGGTCATGTATCGTAACCAATAAAGAAAGATAATAGGACACACTCAGGGCAATCCAAAAGAGAAATGCACAAGGAATCCACTATCATTTACCCAGTAATCCTATTTTTGGAGCCTCTGCAGAGACTGATATTAAATTCCCATTTAGGTTTAATGTCTGTCACATAAAAAGTATCCAAAAGTGGTCTAGATTTATTTGATAGTAAAATCATGTGATTATTTAAAATGCAGAACTCCTTTTGTGGCTAACAAGGGTTCATTTCAAGTCACTTCCTGTTTTACTATGGTTAACAGTATTTCCCTTCTCCTAAACCACAGGCTTGAACCTGAAAACTAAGGGTACTTTTATTTCAGGAAATTGATTTTCTCTGAAAATATAATTCCAGCTCTCAAACCAAACTTGGCCGGTCTAAACAAGAATTAAGTTTTTTCAGTATTATTACAAACCCTTGTCCTTGAGTGACTCTGAAAGTACCCAAGAATCTAACAATGTGAGCATGCAATATCATTTTAACTTCATAACATAACATGTAGGAGCAGGAGTAGGCCATTCGGCCCTTCGAGCCTGCCCCGCCATTCAATCATGGCTGATCTTCTAATCTAACTCCAGCTAATACCATAACCCTGCCTTATTCCCATATCCCTTAATCCCTTTTGCAATAAGAAATCGATCCAGAATCGTAGAATTTTATAGCACAGAAGGAAGCCATTCAGCCCATTGTGTCTGTGCCGGCTCTTTGAAAAGAGCTATCCAATTCAATCCCACTCTCCCACTCTCTTCCCATAGCCCTGCAAACTTGTCCTCCCCAACTTGTGGCACAGTTTCTAAGATCTTCCCACCGTGTCCTGAGTATTGGTTCTTTTGTTTTAGTTTGTTGAATGCATCGGGTTGAACAGGAGACCATTCCATTTGATTGGCACCTCGATGGGTGGCAATGTAGCTGGAGTGTATGCAGCCCACTACCCGACGGATATCTGTGGTTTAACTCTCATCTGTCCTGCAGGTAAGCCCTTCCAGGCTCCGAACTCTTGTTTCAAACTGAGAAAATGTGGCTCACTGATCTTCATTCCCTCTTCTTACAGTTTTAAGAGTTTTTCGGAACATCTTGCTAAGCAACCTGACGACTTGGGTACATAGCGTTATGCCAGCATTCATAGTCTTTTAGTAGCTGACTTGAATTTGGTTCTCTCAGATAATAATAATGATCCTTGCATTTGATATAGCGCCCTATCACATCTTTGAGATGTCTCAAAGCACTTCACAGAATATACTGTAAAGTGAATTGACTATATTTTGTGGGCGAAATGTGGCAGCCGATTGCACACAGCAGTGTCCCACAAACAGTCGTGGATTGAGTGACCAGTTTTTTATTATTTTATTTTTTTTGAAGGATTTATTACCCCCGGAAAAGTGATCCGCTAATTGACTAACAACCGGATTCCTACTTACTGCTAGATAAACAGAAGCGTGTGGAGCAAGGAAACTTGCCCAATATGTCACCCTGCTGGGAATCAAACCCAGGTCTCTCGTTTGCGATGCGAGTGCTGTAACCACTGAGCTACAGGACTCTACTGGATGCACTTGGCTTCCAGGTACAGTGAGCACAGTAACTACAAGTAGAGCAAGGAAGAGAAGTCTGTTCAACAACAACTTGCATTTATATAGTGCCCTTCAGCAGGATAGTATCCCGAAACAATGTTCACATTGTTTGTCCATTTTATATCACAAACCACCAGAATTCGAAACTTCACTCTATGGATCAGGCCTTCACCAGGATGGAACCTTTACCAACTAAACCCTTAAAACTGGAGAAATGCATCTTATTGTGCTAATATATTTATCTCTTTGTGAATACACTTGAAAATATTTCTTTAAAGTTGACTTGGACCAGGAAAGTATGCAAATTTGCTTCATTTTGACCGTATGAATTCCTCCCCTGGGTGCAGGTCTGCAATATCCGAATGAAAGTAAGTTTGTGAAAGAACTAAAGTCACTGGAGCAAACACGAGACGTCAGCAAAGTGCCTCTAATCCCATCAACCCCTGAAGAGATGGAAGAGATGCTGAAGCTTTGTTCCTATGTACGCTTCAAAGTCCCTCATCAGGTATGTGACCTCAATATTCCAAAGTACCTCTGCTGCTCAGGACAGAGAGCTTCTCGATCACTATGGGGACTCAGTGGGGAAATACTTTACGTTCATGGTATTTCAGATTTTACATCTCCCAAAACCCAACAGGGAAAACAAAATGTGTTACTGTAAAATACAATTTGACCAAAGACAGTAACCAATCAAAAAAAATCATCTTCTTAAATGTCGTACAAAGTTAATTCTGACCAAATTTCTCTTCGACTCATGAACGCTACATTTTTCTCACAGATTCTTCAGGGTCTTGTAGATGTGCGACTGCCTCACAATGAGTTCTACCAGGAATGTAAGTAGTGTTTATTAAGTGTATTTTATTTAATATGTATTTTGAATATGCAGTGCTCTGTTCATAATTCAGATACGAGTGAGTTGGTCTGAAGATGTTGACCCAAAGATTCTGTTTGTTTATTTCCTTATGATTAGTGCCCAAGGATAGCATTATCCTCCATGACAGATAGATTTTAGACCTTCATTGTAATATATTATTATTGTCTTGAAGAGAGACAAATAATAAGGTTGATTTCAGACACAGGTAATGAGGAAAGGCTAAGGAACTTTGGTCTGAATTCTAACAGTAAATGTGTATGAATGGGATTGACTCTCCTAATACCAGGCCCAAGACTCTTCCAATTCATGGCCACACTGAATGGTGGCACGTTAACCAATGGTAGCCAATCTTGATCCTCTTCTCCCATGATATCCACACAAGCACAGGCTCCAGCAGCGAATGTTGGATACTCATCAGGAGAAGGGAGCCTGATTGATTTCTCCCCCTCCCCACGCCCAAAGTCTCTCTTAACCCAAAACAGGAATTGTTTCTCCCAATCCATATGTCTCAGTGAATGTCTTGGCTGTGCCATTAACAACTAGGCCATCGATGTGCAATCTATCAATAATGTCTTGTCTAGAGGGAAAAAAGGCAACAGTAAGAATTAAGAGTGAGACGAATCCTCTACATGTTTTGAATTCACATCAGACGTGAATTTAAAATAGTTTTAGGATTGTCAGATTAATATTTTAGTGCTGACTTTTCCTTGTCATTAAACACATGAATAACTTTGATATGCGATTATATTTGAAATTGAGATAAAATAATTTAATTAAGTTAATCAATATTGATCTGCATTTAAAACAAAGGGACCCTGCCAGGAAAAGTGTTGGCAGATTGTTCAGCCGTGGGGTTCAATCCAAGAAATTGACATCCAAGAAAGTAAGTTTCCAGCAGGCGTCATGGGATCAGGAACACTAGATCAGGAACAGAAACAATGGCAAATTTCCCTCCCCCATCCCCAGACCAGGATGGCCTTAGCATGCTACAGCAGAGTGACCCCATTAGAATCTGCCACGGTTGACAGTAGGGTCCATTGTGGATATCTTGGAATACAGTATATAGTTTGGGGCACGACATGTGCGTGTGACTGCCAGGATGGTGGAAGATGAACTGGATGGACCTTGGTCTTCTTTCTCCTAGCAAATACTTATGTTCAGCACTTTGGGATGAACTCCTGACGTGAAAAGCCCTATACAAATGTAATGTTCACACTCCACTAGAAGCACAGTGAATCCGGATTCCTGTGCTAAAAATGGCGATCTTCTGGCCCATGAGGTTACCGCTGATATCACTCTTTTGCATTGAAAGCATATGCACTATGCATGGATGTATCGCCTACATTGCTTTGCAAAGAAAGTGACTTCACAAAAGCTTCTTGCACACAGGAAGTGATGTGAGCAACGATCTGGAAGTCGGACATTTTTTGTGCTTCGTCATAGCGCAACCTCAGAGATATTGGATCCAGAAAACTGCTTTATAATCCAGATTGAGTTGTATCACCCAGGCTGTTGTATACCCTTTTAAGAAGAAATGACCAATTATCTGGAAACCAATGCAAGGGGATCAGGAAGTATAAAGCAGGTGCAGGAAAACTAGCTGAAGGGGTTTTGGTTGTATTGTGTTGTGACATAAAATGGTGTCAGAAGTGAAAGTGAACTGAATTGGAAAAGACTACGAGATTGAACAGGGACAATAAATGAGACCAAATGAGTTGTGGAAAAGCAGAAACTGATGCCATACCAAGATATATGCAAATACTATGAACATTGAGGTTAGAAGGTAACTTAAAACATAATTGGCAAAGATTTGAGCAGGATTTTGAAATATTTGCGCTAGCCACAAATGTGAAGAAATTGTCAAAATACAGCAGTTGGCTATTTTCCTAAATGTGGCAAGAGAAGAAGCAAGGGATTACTTTGCAACTGCAGAGAAAAATGTGGACATGCCATTAGATGCGATGATAGAAGTCATGTAGCAAAGATGTTGTGCACATTACAATGTCACAATAGATAGATACAAATTTGGAACAAAGAAACAAGGGTCTATGGAATGATTTCATCAATACTGTGCGGTATGATCACTAAGTAAAGCATGTAATTATGGAACTTTAGGAGAAGATGATCAGGGACCAAACTGTAATAGGATTGAAAGATAGTAAAATATGCAGCAAGCTCCTAAAGCAGGAGACTTTAACGCTTCAAAAAGCTCTGGAAGTAGTTGATATGGAAGAAGTATCCAAAACACACATGAGGGACATTGATAGAAATGCATAACAGAAGATGGAAATTGATGAATTAGCTCAAAGAAAAGGCTGGGATGATTCAGATGAGGAATATGGAATACGGAGGATATGCAGGCCAAAAAGGTGAACAAATATAGAGGAAACATGTAAGAAGTGGATTAGTGCATTTGTTTCGGAGATGTTCAACGGAAGGAAAAGAGAGTTATGAGTGTCATCGGTATGGGTATTTCGCAAGACAATGCAGAAGTGGACTATGAGAACCTGTAAGGAGCTATGGCAGAGGAACCCAAGAGAAAAGGTGTACAGGACAAAATGATTACAGAAGACCAAATAAGCCACAGAGAACTAGAATAAAGCAAATAAGATCAACGCAATATGAAATAAGGGATAATTCTGATATGGAATCTGGAGTGAGTGAACAATTATAAGAGAAGTATAATATTGATGCAATAAAAATCATTAAGACCGTGCATACAGAAAATTTTAAAAAAGTGTATAATGCACAGAAGAAAGGAAATAGTTAAGGTGCAATTTGGATACAGGGGCTCAGGTAATGTTGTTAGAAGAGAACATATAGCTGGGAGAACCCAATAAAGACAAATTGGAAAAGGGGAATAGCAGACTATTGGCCTACAATAAAGAGAAATTGAGACAGTGGGCGGAGTAGCTATAGAGTTGGTGTACAAAGACAGATCATACAAGATAAAGTTTCACATTGTAAAATTAAAAGCCCATACTCTGCTTGGACTGCAAAATATCATTGAAATGGGGTTGCTCAAAGAATTCAGAGAGTGGAGACAGAAGACCATAAAACAACTTCACCCGGGTATCCCCAGAGTAGAATGGTGGAGTGGGAAATACAGACAACAAAGAAAATGTGGAAGAAGACAGAAAACGCAAAGCACCTGGCATTTTTGGCCTATAGAAACACGCCAAAAGACAATGAGGGACAATCACCAGCACAAGTACTGATGTCAAGATGGTTTAGAGATTTGTTAACCAGAAGAAAAAAAATCGAGAACCACCAGTTCAGGAAGAGTAGCAAAACAAATGTGGAGATCAATTGAACAAGACTGGGACACAGAGAGAAACAAGAAACCAAAAAGGGGAATATGTTGTAAACCCTTTAAGAAGAAATGACCAATTAACTGGGAACCAATAAAAGGGGATCAGGAAGTATAAAGCAAGGATTCAGGCAAACTAACTGAAGGGGTTTTGGTTGCATTGTTGGATAGTGTTTTGAGAGCTGAGAATAAAATAGTGATTTCTACATTTGAGTTGTGAGAACATAACATAGGCAAAGATTGGCCGACAATGTGCAAGGCAGGGATTGATTTCCTTTTTTTTCCAAATCTAATTTAGTAGTTATTGTGAAATATTAATTCACCCACTCCCTCCAGTGGCTATTGTGTGCAAAACACTTTCCTGTGATTTTTGTACAGGTTTGTTTGACGACACATTGGGGTGATTGTCCACTGTACCCTACGTTTGACAGTGTGACCTTACAATGAGATTTTTATAGTTATAACCTCATGCCACTCAAGTCAGTAAATGTACCACTCTGCTGAGAATCACTTGCATAGGTGCTTTTAAAAGTGAACTCTGTGTGAGGTGACCTACCTTCCTTTGTGATATAGTTTGCTGAAATGATAATAATAATAACAATAATAAACCTTGCATTTGATATAGTGCTTTTCACGTCTTCTAGACGTCCCAAAGCGCTTCACAGAATATACTGTAAAGTGAATTGACTGTATATTTGTGGGTGAACGCGGCAGATATCTTCGTAAACGGTGGATACTTCATTAAAAATCTTCCTGCACATTTTTGTCTTCTGTGTATAGTGTTCCTGCAAATAGTAGGGGAGAAATCAAGGCACACGTTACAGGAAAATATGGGTATGATCTCGGCTCCAACACAGGTCATTTGGGGAAAACAGGATCAGGTAAAATCCACAATACTTATCAACAATTTGAATCTTCTACTGTATTTAATGTCCTGTGTAGCTCAGCTGTTTGAGTATCGGACGTTGGGACTAGGAAGTTATGGGTTTGAATCCAGGTAGGTTCATTCAATGAAGTACATATTAAGATCCAGGATGAGGTAGGGAAATCAATGGGCAAAATACTGCAGATGCTGGAAATCTGAAATCAAACAGAAGTCGCTGGGAAGTATCTATGGAAAGAGGAAAATTAGTTAATGTTTCAAGTCAATAATTTTCGTCAGAACCATCAATGAGATCAATGCGTTTGCTAAATTAGTGACTTAAGTGTCTGTACCATGTGCAAATGGTAGGTTCAATAAATTTACCTATTTTGTTAGTATTTGGACTTATTGAGTGAATAAATGTCAGGATGCACACTATAAATAAACCCGCATTACAATGAGATGCATTATAAAATAGTTCTGGTCCTGGTCCTCACCTTCAAAGCCCTCCGTGGCCTTGCTCCCCCCTACCTCTGCAACCTCTTAACCCCCTACCAGCCTGCCCGCTTCCTCCGCTCAGCGGGCTCCAGCCTGCTTCATGTTCCCCGCCTCACCCACCCCACCATTGGTGGGTGGGGGTTCAGCCACACTGCCCCCACCCTCTGGAACTCCGTACCGCAGTCCCTTCGGCTCACCCCCTCCCTTGCTTCCTACAAGACCTGTCTCAAGACTCCTTTTCAACCAAGACTTCGATCACCCTCCTTTTTCCCCTCCACCCTCCCTGATCCTGACCCCCAGCTCGGATCTGAAACACTGATTGTCCAGCGCCTTGGGACGTCCTCCTGACTTGAAAGGTGCTTTACAAATGTAATTTTGTTGTTGCTGTTGTTTTCCTACTGCATCTGCTTCCAGTCCTTTTCCCTTATCCAGGTTTTGGATGTTTCTGGCGCTGAGGTCCTTGGAGAAGCTATTTCTGGCTGTCGTGTGGATCTCCTTGAAAGCTGTGGTCATTCCGTGGTGATGGAACGTCCTCGGAAAACTGCTAAGCTTGTGGTGGAGTTTTCATCTTCCCTGCAAAAGCTAAGATCAGAAAGCAATAAGAAATTAGCCTAAAATTTACCAACGGAAGTTGCGTCATTATTGCCCCTCAGATATCCTAATTAAAAATGTGACGCTGTTATTCTTCTCAATGGGGGAATGTTAAGAATGGACAATGTGCTGATTATACAGTAGTTAAAAGAGAGCTGGTTAACAATATTTGGTTGTGCAGTAAAATTCCGTGAACACGCTTTTGGAAGACTCAAAGCATTGGAGTATGAGAGCAGTAAGATAAATTACAGAACTGCACTGATATTGATTGTCATATTTCCATGTTTTCATGCTGACTTTAAAAAACATACAAATATTGGCAGTAGCAATGTTTTCCAGATTTTGTTAGGTTCCAGTTTTTATAATCTTACACAAAGCATATGCATAATTTGCTGAACCTACCATTTGTATTTGTCCATCAAAATTATTATTCTGTGGTTCATTTGGTTGTTTGGTGTTTTTGTTTAATCTGCTGGAGATATTCTCCAAGGTTTTCAATCTCTTTGGCACAATAGTAACTTGGTGTGACTGGAAGGGGAACAATTAACATTATGAATGTTTTGCAGAGATTTGGTGGGATGGGAAATGCATTCATACATTTATATTATTTATTTGTGTGTAGCACAGTACACCTGGCTTCTTATGGTAATCCTCCGTTAGAAAACTGCTCAATTTGCACAATGGTAAAATATTGTGAAGATATTTATCACTCTCACCGAAAGGGTTAACACAAAGGTGGCTTGCACCAGTTCTGGGAATTACCTCACATTACGACCAAATTACCAGAGACAGAAAAGGTTAGGGACAAGAAATTGTAGTAACTTTGTGAGCATCAATTTGAGGTGTGAAAACACAGCAGCACACATTTTCCAATCTTCATATTTTGTGAAGAAGGCAATAGTTAAATCGATTTATTTATCTACAGCAGATATCAACATAATATAATATAATTGATATAGTACCTTTCATGCTTGGGAAGTTGTCTCAAAACATTTTACACAACTGATTGGGAACTCATGCCGAGGGAGTGAGAGCTCAAGATGGTGGCGAGGGAAAAGATGACTGAAAGCACAGTCAAAGAAGTAAGTCTTGAGGTGAGTTTTGAAGGGTGGGGGAGGAGAAAAACAGTTCAACAAGAAAAATAGGAAAGCTTTTCCTTAGTAAATTTCAATGCAGAATACATTATTCTGATACATTAGCCCCAATATACTGCATCGCCTGCTATGCTATCTTGAGTCCTATAGCTCAGTGTTAAGAGCACTTGCCTTGCAAGCGAGAGACCTGGGTTTGATTCCCAGCAGGGTGAAACCTTCGGCAAGTTTCCTTACTCCACACGCCTGATAATAATCCTTCAAGAAAAAAACAATAATAGAATTGGTCACTCCAATCCAGGACTGTTTGTGGGACACATTGGCTGCCGCGTTTCGCCCACAAGTATACAGTCAATTCACTTTACAGTATATTCTGTGAAGCGCTTTGGGACGTCTAGAAGACATGAAAAGCGCTATATCAAATTCAAGGATTATTACTATAAATAAGTATGCTTCTTTTGTCCAACATATGTGCGCTTCAGTCCATTGTCCAAACGTAGTGTAAAATAAAATTCTCGGAGTGTGTTGCTCAGCTGACTTATGCTTGTGTTGCACATTAAGCTTTCACTTCAGCATGGTGCTGTAAGAACTTCTCTTGCTGAAAGTCTACAGAGCCTCTAATGCATACAATTACAGATAGGAAAGTTGTAGCACTGCACAAATAGGCTGTGACAGTTTTCAGATTTGAATAACATTTCCTCAACATGGAGTACTTTGTCAGTGAGTAATGAATTCTGTGAATTCCACAGATGTTATTGTAATAGCTATACGTTACTGAACATTTATAATGCATGACTGTTTAGATGATAGGCAAGTTGCCTAAGAAACATCTATGGAAATCGGCCCAAGTAATTGTTCGCTGCGATCCCATTGGGAGTGCCTGGGTTTGAGCAACAGGCACAAACAGTATTTGAGTACTATTCCCGTCATGGTTGCTCTAAGGTGGAAGACAAAACTTTTGCGTCTTTGCCACACAGCACCCACAGAGCATGCTTCAAGCCAGCCAATGCTCAGATGATGTGGACAGTGGTAGAGCCATTCACAGGGTAGACTTTCCTTCACTCCTGCATGAGAGCAGAAGCGAGACATTGTGGATCCACTGTGGGAGACATGATGATAAACCTGGTTCTTGTAATATATAATGCGACAATGTCCACTGTTTCATTCATTTATGTAGTGAGAAATAATATATTTCACAGCACAATTATTGGAAACAAATACATTCTTTGGCTCACTGTGAATATTGTACATTATTACCAAGACTCAAATACCATTCCTGTGTCAGTGGACACGTTCAGATCAAGATAATCTTTCTTAGCTTGACATAACAAAGGGCTTCACCATGAAGACTAACTCTTGCTTGAAGTATTGTAATATTAGTAATGATTGATGGTATCCTTTAGTTTTTTCTCTGTGACTTGGATTGAATCTACCAAAGACAGCCGCCTCTATTCAGTAGCAAATGACACAAAGTACAGGGAATTAAAGCGAGGCTGAATTCAGTGGTGTTCCAACATCAAAGCTACTCTCAAATGTAACCCAGTGGGGGTGATTTTACATTTGTTGGTAAGTTTTGCACACTCCGATCTGCTTAGGTAATGGGGTTTCCCCATGACAAGGGGATATTGTGAGCAAACACTAAATGCATCACCTCCAATGACTATTTTGTCAATTTTGCATGGGTTGGTTGTGACAAGCAGTCAAGGTAATGGAGAACTCCTGATGGAAGCAGACTGTTGTCAGCATTCAGGCATATGGTCAGGGTGAATTAGGGCACTTTTCGATCACATCTCCGCAGGACTATGCCCACTCCGACTGTCTCTGATGCTGTTACTGGCTGTACACTGTGAACTTGTTCTTTGTCAACAATTTGTTTCATCTTTATGAGCACAGAAACAACAAATTGCATTGATATAGTACACAAGTATAGAAAAATTGCCTGATTATGGATGTTGAAAAACGGTGTGGTATAAACACTGGTCACACTGATCTTTTTCCACCTATGGAAATCTTTTTCTAGCTGCTGTTATTCTGTACAACAATTATAGCCCTACATCAAATACACTGGTTATTTTGTACAGGATGGATCTGTGAATAAAAGAGAAATGTGGCTGAAATGCTCAAAAAAAGCCTTGCATGTTGACTGAATTTATGGATAAGTTATTACTAAAAGTTGTTATTACTCTCAAGAAGGTGTTTTATGATTGTGGCCTCTTGGACGAATTTAAGCCATTCTTACAAAGATGTCCCAACTGCATAGAATAGTGAATGTGACAGTAGCTGGTGCATATTTCATGTATTCTAGTTTTCATGACCTGGTTTAGTATTAAACAGATACTCTGAAGAAGTGAATTCTTCTTCACAGGCTAATCAAGGAGATGTACCTGAAGAGAGAAAATAGGAACATATTGCATATTAATAACGGTTTTTCATATTGCAACAGATTGAAACTTTCTTTTGTACCAGTTCCATTTTGCCTGTATCTAGGTAATAACATAGTGTGTAATTTATTGGACCTTAAATATGCATGTTATGGGTCAAATAAATAAACTGCTGAAACATTTTGTGACTTGTTCACGGGGAGCGGCGGCAGGACAGCGCGGGGAGGAGCCTGGGCCTACCTACCCAGGTACTTAAGCACGAGGCAGCAGGGAGTGCAGCTAGGCGGGGCTGAGGAGGGAACGGGTGGGGGCGGAGCGGGGGAACCACTGACGTCATAGTTTAGTTTTCAGGAGCCCCCCCCCCAGGGCTCACATCAGAGCCCACCATGGTCCTGTTGGGTTGGCTGCCCCAGCCTGTGGAATAATGCCATCCACCTGACCGCTCGCTCCCGGTCCCCGCGTGCGCACTATGGCTGCCGCTTTGACCCCCAAGCCCCCTCACCCCCTCCTCCCTCTTTACCCCCAAACCCTCCCCCCTCTGCATCTCTCCCGCTCTGTCCTCTCTCTCCGTCCCTCTCGCCTTCTATCCCCACTTGACCCTCCCACAACCTCTCTCTGTTCCAGCCTGGAAACATCCGCCAGGCTCACCGCGGCTCGGCGTTGGCTGTCCAGCAGCAGCCACACCGACTGCCCCATTCCCCACCGCACTCGCCAGCTACCCCAGACACAGATCCATGGAGCCAACCTCTCCTCCCTCATCCCCATTTCCCCCACCCCTGCCTCACAACCTGGACCCCCCTCCCCTCCCACACACCCTTCTGTCAACCGCTCCCTCCACATCGGACTACAAAACGTCCGCTCCCTCACACCACCCGGCTACACCTCCCACCACATCCCTCGCCCCAACCGCCGTGGCGGTGGTGTAGCCCTTATCTCAAGGACACCACTTGCCCTATCCCCCTACTCCTCTGGCTCTTTCCCCTCTTTTGAGCACCTCACCCTCTCCCACCCCTCCTTCCTCTCACTCAAAATCCTCCTCCTCTACCGGCCCCCTAAAACCTCGCCCACCTTCATCTCTGATATTTCGACACTTCTTACATCTCTGCCTCTGCTCTGATCGCCTCATCATCCTGGGCGACTTTAACCTGCACTTCACCCCCTCCTGCTCCATCTCCTCAGACTTCTCTTCCCTGCTCTCCTCGCTCAACCTCTCCTTACACATAAACTCCCCCACTCACAGTCACGGCCACCCACTCGACTTGGTGATCACCCGGGGCCTCAGTGTCTCGGATGTCACTATCACCGACAAGGCCATCTCCGACCACCACTTCATCTCCTTCACCACCTCCACCCCCCTCCCCACCTCCACCAGACCCACCACCATCTTCTACCGCCCCTGGAAGAAGTTACCCCCACAATCCCTAACCGCTGCCTTGGAGTCCTCTGAACTCCTCTCCCTCTGGCCTTCAACCCTCACTGACCCCTCTTCTCCTCTCACCCTCCTCCACAACACCCTCTCCTCCACACTCGACACTCTTGCCCCCATCACCTCCCGTACTGTCTCCTACTCTTGCTCCTCCCCCTGGTTCACCACCCACCTCCGCTCACTGAAGAGCCAGGTGCGGGCCGCTGAACGCACCTGCAATAAATCTGGCCTAACGGTCCACCGACAAATCTGGTTGGACCTCCTCAAAATCTACCGCTCCACTCTAGCCTCGGCCAAGTCGTCCTTCTACTCCAGGATAATCCTGGAGGCGAAGAACAACCCCAGGCTACTGTTTTCCACGCCATCCCGACTCATCCTCCCTCCCCCCCGCCACCCCGCGCAGGTACTCTCCTCCAACGTTCACTGCGAAATCAAGGGAATTCGCTCCGCCGTCACGTCCCCACCAACATGCACCCACCCCCCTCCCCCTCCCTCCCACACTCCGACTCCTACCCATCCTCCCCTACACACTTTCGTACCCGTTTCCCCACCCTCTGTCACCAAACTCATCCTATCCCTGAAACCCACCACCTGCTCCCTTGACCCCATCCCCACTCCACTCCTTATCTCCCAGCTCCACCTCCTTGCCCCACATATCACAGACATCGTCAACCTGTCCCTCTCCTCCGGCTCTGTTCCCATTCCATTAAAAACTGCCACCATCACTCCCACCTTGAAAAACCCTCCCTTGATGCGTCGCAGCTATCAAGCTACCGGCCCATCTCCAACCTCCCCTTCCTGTCCAAGGTCCTTGAACGAGTTGTCGCCTCCCAGCTGCGCTCTTTCCTCTCCACCCATTCATTATTCGAACCCCTTCAGTCGGGTTTCCGTGCTGCCCATAGCACAGAAACTGCCCTGGTCAAGGTCACCAATGACATCCTGACCATCTGTGACCAGGGCTCCCTCTGCCTCCTCGTCCTCCTCGACCTATCGGCAGCATTCGATACGGTCGACCACGCTATCCTCCTCCACCGCTTGTCCTCCCACCTCAACCTTCAAGGCACTGTCCTTGAGTGGTTTAGGTCGTACCTCTCCCACCGTCTTCACTTTGTTTCCACGAATGGCTTTTCCTCCACCCCGCACTGTCTCGTGCGTGTCCCTCAGGGCTCTGTCCTCGGTCCCCTCCTCTTCACCCTCTATATGCTCCCCCTTGGTGACATCATCCGCAGACATGGGGTTAACTTCCACATGTATGCGGATGACACCCAACTCTACCTTTCCTCCTCTACCCTCAACTCCACGACCACCGATGTCCTGACAGCCTGCCTGTCCGACATCGAGTCCTGGACGAGAGACAACTTTCTTCAGCTCAACGTGCG